TTGTGTTCATCTTTGCTGCTGCTATCCCAGAGGCCACTCACCTGCTAAGTGACACCTCCTAGAAAGAGGAAGGTAGGGTCCAGAGACTGACTGCTGAAAACAATCTCTCCTGTTGGGCTTTAAATCATGCCCAGGTGTATCACATTGGCAGAACTGTCATATGCTTAACCTTCCATCCTCTGCCCTGTAGAGTGGGGCATGAGTGGAAATGGATTCCAGGCCAGACTCCACTAGAGCATATAAAACATACAACTTCTACACTCAGAGAGGCCACTGTTTAGTAGTAGAGGCAGACAAATAAAAAAACAATTTCAGGGTCATGTGGCAAAGTGCAGTGACGGACTCTAGTGCTGTGCTGGTGAAAGCACAGAATGGGCTTCTATGGGTGAGGAATGACTGAGAAGTGAGGGAAAGGCTCACAAGAAGCTTCCTGTAGATGATGTTCCCAGATATAAGTCTTAGGGATTAGTAAAAGTAGATTGGGCTGGGTGTGGTGGCTCATGCCTGTAATCCTAGCACTCTGGGAAGCCAAGGTGGTAGGATAGCTTGAGCTCAGGAGTTGAAGACCAGCCTGATCAAGAGCAAGGCCCCATCTCTCTTAAAAATAGAAAAAAAAATTAGCTGGGCATGGTGGCATGTACATATAGTCCCAGCTACTTGGGGGACTAAGGCAGAAGGATCACTCAAGCCCCGGAATTTGAGGTTGCAGTGAGCTATGATGATGCCACTGCACTCTAGCCCAGGCAAAAGAGTGGAGACTTTGTCTCAAAAAAAAGAAAAAAAAAAAAGAGTAGATCTTACAAAAAGGGAGGGAAGGCTATGGCAGGCATATGGAAGAGAACAAAGTTAACAAGCTAAGGGACATTGTGGCAACCACAGACATGAAGGAGATGCAGGGAGGTAACATGTGGTAGAGACAGTGGGTTTTGAGTTTTACTGGGATCATATTGGCACCATGTTGAGAGTGAATATGAAACTCCACAGAGACAGGGGGTAAATATTGCAAGACTTGGGACATGATTGAAAATGAGGAAGATCACAGTAAGGAAAATAAATCAATCAAGGATTATGTCCTTGTTTTGGACTTCGATTCTTGAGATGTGGCATGAAGTCAGAATTTTAAGCAAAGTTGCAAAGTCAGGGCTTTCCTTGCTCCTTCAGTCTGTCTCAGCTATGATTTGGTACTGATCAAGCCATTGCATACTTAAAGACATGTCCAAGAAGCCCCATGGCATTGTGTGCAAGTTATGTGTATATGTGAGTATATTCATTTTTTTTCAGAAAAGAAGAAGCATGGCTTCATATAATTCTCAAGGTTTAAGAATCACCTGGACTAAGACTTTCTACTTAATAGCTTTGATAGTTGGTGTTCATTCTGTTCTGTTCTAAAGATCAAATGCTCATTCAGGAATATATTTTAAAAACATATTAAATAGTTCTGCTTCAGACAGTACAGCAGGTTAAAAATTCTTACAGATCTTCCTACTATGAAGTGCTAAGATGTTAGCTTCCTCACAACAAAATTATTTCCAGGTGCATTGCTGAACTCTCAGGAATGTGAGACAAGTCCCTCTGAGTCAAGCACACACAGAAATCTATAGGAAAGAAAAAAAAAGACATGAGACTGGGTGAAGGCTCAGTGGCTCCGGAGGCAACTGTTAATTGCAGGAACCTAAAACTTTAGAGAATATTGGTCGCTTGGGGTGTGGAGTACTCAGGAGCAAACACTAGGCTTGCACACACTGAGGGCAGGTGGGAGTGAGTGGGAGTGGGGGCGTGACCCTGCCCTTCTCCAGGCTCTACACCCTTAGGGAAGGTTGTGCCAGGAAAACTCCTGCTGGACAGGAAATCCTTAAGCAAACCTCTCTGTCCTTCCCATATTCAGGTGGAATAATAATAATAATAATAGTAATAAAATACCTGGGTTTGTCTTAGTGTTCTCTTTGCTTATATGTACATTTTTTTATCTTCTTTTCGAGTATAAAAATTTCATGACGTAAAAACATACCATGCATTTCTGTCTGATTCATTTTTATTATCGTAATAACCTCTTGATGAATGAAAACTACATATTTATAAAAGAAATAAGACACTGGCATAAAGAGTGAAAAGTTTTACCTTCAGCTATACTAATTTATTTTTTCAAGTACTGTTGCAGTATAGTGTTCTATTCTCAGAGATAAAAAGTACTTTGCAAAATACTGTTCAGCAGCTTTGCAAATCAATATGCAAAAACACTAAGTTAATTCACCAATGCTCATGAGCGTTCCAAATGAAAACAAAATATTTTAATGGGGTTATGCCATGCATGTTTTTTACCAGACCACTTATTCAAGGGAACATTTAAATTAAAAAAAAAAAATCTACAATTATTCCTGTGCCTTTACTTTTCTTTTCTTCCTGCTCATGCTCTAAATAGAATCAAGAAGACTGCCAAGTATTATGATGCCACTGGAGAGACACTTCTAGTGGTTTATTTATTTTTTAAAAAGAACTTTGTAGTCAGTTCAATGTGGAATTTTGAACTAGTAGCAATAATTAGGTCTATTTATGTGGAATCCTTATTTTATTTTATTTATTTTTTAAGATTTCAGAATATTACAGGTGTACAAATGTGTTTTGGTTACATGGATTGCTTTTATACTGCTTGAGTCAAAGTTGTAAGTGTGCCCATCATGCAGATAGTGCACATTGTACCTGTTTGGTATGATTTCAACCCTCCCCTCCCACCTCTCACCTGCATGATTTCTGTTCAGTTTTACTTCCATCTGTGTACATGAGTGCTGATCAGTTAGTTCCAATTTAATAGTGAGTGCATGTGATATTTTCCACATTTTTAGATATTTCACTTAGGAGAATGATCTCCAGTTCCATCCAGATTGTTGCAAAAGGTATTAATTTTTTTAATGGCTGAGCAGTACTCCATGGTATACATATAGCACATTTTATTAATCCAGTCATGAATTGATGGGAACTTGGGTTGATTCCACATCTTTGCCATTGTCAATTGTGCTACAATAAACCACATCTTTGCGATTGTTGTGCTGCAGGTGTCTTTTTGATAAAATGACGTTTTTTCCTTTGGGTAAATATCCAGTAGTGGGATTGTTGGATCAAATGGTAGGTCTACTCTTAGTTCTTCGAGGAATCTCCATAGAGGTTGCACTAGTTTGTAGCCCCACCAACAATGTATAAGTGTTCCTATCTCTCTGCATTCACACCAGACTTTATTGTTTTGGGACTATTTGATAAGAGCCATTCTCACTGGGGTTAGGTAATATCTCATTCTGGTTTTGATTTGCATTTCTCTGATGATTAGCGACATTGAGCATTTATTCATATGTTTATAGGCCATTAGTCTATCTTCTTTTGAAAAACTTCTGTTCATGCCTTTTGCCCACCTTTTTTTGTAGGATTGTTTGATATTTTCTTGCTGATTCCCTTTAGTTCTTTGTAGATTATGGACATCTTCAAGTGCAGTGTCAAATGTTGCCATTCATTTGGCTTAAGGATTCCTTCATATTTTGGAGTGGGCTAGGCATGTACCTATTTAATCAAGGGTAGGAAGAAAGCATCTTTCTGCATCACTTCAGATTCAGAGCTTACACAAGGTGAGTTCTTGCTTGAGGAGAATGGCATCATGATAGTTCCATTTTCCTCCTGTGGGATGAGCTCAGAGTATTTTTTTTTTAATTTCAGGAAATTATGAGAGTACAAATATTTTGGTTACATTTCTTTGCCTCTCCCTAGCAAGGGTTAGAGTCATGCCCTTCCCCTCTACGAAGCTAATCACGTCCCTCAGTTGTGCGTCTACCCCCACAAACCCCTAATCCCTGGTGAACACTACCACCATGTGAGCACCATTGTGTTAATCAGTCAGTACCAATTTGATGGCAAGTACATGTGGAGCCCATTTTTCTGATCTTGTGTCATCTCACTTTGGATAATGGGCTCAAGCTCAATACAGGAAAATACAAACGGTGCTAGATCACTGTCGTTTCTTATAATTGAGTAATATTCCATTGTATACATATACCAAATTTTAATAATCCACTAATGAATTGACAGACACTTGGGTTGTTTCCACATCCTTGCAATAGTGAATTGTGCTGCCATAAACATTCGGGTACAGATGTCTTTATTATAGAATGTCTTTTGCTCATTTGGGTAGATGCCTAATAGTGCTATTACTGGATCGAATGGCATTTCTAATTTCAGTTCTTTGAGGTATCTCCAAATTCTTTTTCACAGAGGTTGCACTAATTTGCAATCCCACAAGCAGGGTAAGAGTGTTCCTATCTCTCCACATCCTTGCCAGCATTTGTTGTTTTGGGATTTTTTGATAGAGGCCAATCTTACCGAGTTCAGAGTATTTTGATTTTCATTTAACCTAGCAAAGAAATCTCCAGGTTTCTTACAATATAATTCTGGGTTTTTATTTTGTTTAAGCATGTTTCCCTTTTTGTAGTTAAAATATAGAAAGGAGAATGTTTATAACAAAGTTGATAAAATAATAAGATAAAGAGAAAACAGTGAGTTTTGATATCTGTCATTGCTCACATTATAGATGACTGTATTGGAAATTAATACAATGTTCTAATTTAAACATATTTTAAATAAATATAAATAATTTAAATAAACATTTATTCAATATAAATACTTTATTTGACAAATCTCTAATAACCTTTATTTTTGTTCCTTGGCTTTTAATGACTATTAACAGTTTGCAGGCTTAAAATGCAACGCTCCTAAAAATGCTGAAATTCTTATCAATAACCTTTTTCTTGAAAAGGATTTGCTTTCTCATACATTGCTTCAGTTACTGTATGAAATTAATAATGCTTAATATTCTAAGATTCTTTCTTCTTCCTTCTTCTCCTTAACTATACAGATAATCTCAAGTGTGTGGAACAACAAATTTTTATGCCATATAGCCTTCCCTAAACTTTCTGAGTATATTAAAGCATGTTTTGATTTTTGTTTTCTCCATGTTACTCTAGGATAGCTTCCCAGCACGATTTGGAGGAATTCATTTTGTTAATCAGCCGTGGTATATCCATGCCCTGTACACCGTGATCCGACCTTTCCTTAAGGAGAAGACTCGGAAAAGGGTATTTCTTTGTTTTTTAATCCTTTCTTCTCCCTCATTCAATGAATTAGACTGCACAGTGTATATATAATATTCACTATAGTAAACTGTACTTCAATTTTGCATATAAATATTCAACATGAAAGACATCGTTAAGTTCTTAGTGACCTTGTGTTTAGTTCTGAATAGTGTATCTGAAAGAAACATTTTAAAACTAGCTCTTCTACTTTCTCACAAAAGGGGAAGACATTTAAGCACATTAATTATATATTAAAGCCTCAATTTAAAGGTCAAAATACTCTTTTATGTCATGTTACTATAGTGCAGTGGGTACACTTAATTCAAGTAAAAATCTAAACAAAAGTTACAATTTTATATGCTGATGAATTTTAGTTTTTCACAATATGTATTGTACCAAATATAGTGAATTTTACACTATCTAATATAATTTTGTAATGACTGTCATGATCAATCACACATATTGGAAAGAATGATAATGTGGAGAAGTTTTAATATTTCTTTAAATTTTAAGTTACTTGAAGTATCTTTAAGATTCAGTTTTACCTAATAATGAAGATGACCAAAATACAATACAATGAAGTAATATTTTTCTGAGATTAAGATAATTTATGTAAAACATTTAGCATAGTACATGGCACATGATAAATACTGAACATGATTATCATTTTTATTAAAATATATTTTGTAAAAACACATCTTAATTCACGTCTCATTTAATTCTCAAAACAGCCCTGAAAAGTAAATTTAGTAAGCATTATCTTCTATTTCAGAGCTGAGAAAAGCAAGTCTTAGGATGGATAAGTAACCTGCTAACTCATCTATACAGAGCAGAAAAGTTTTAGAGCTAGTATACAAACCTAAATATTCCCACTTCACATTTAAAACTGTTTTATTTCCTTGTGCTGTATCCAATTTCCAAATGACTGATTCCACAGTAAAATGTATTTACTTCTAAATCTATATGGAAGATAATTCCAGGTCAGTTTCTCAGTGACCCAGAAGGCAATTCAGGTATTTCCATGTTGTAGAGGCCCCATTGTATGTGTGAAAGTGCAGTAATTTGTGTTCATATCACACATTAGTGAGCATAGGGTTCACCGTAAATGACTTTGTTTAAAATGCTTCAGTTGTTCAGGAGAAACAATTCTGTAAACAAGTATAATTTATATTAAGAATTATTTCTACCGTTAAGAATCAAATATTTTAGAATTCAGAAAGTGAAGAAAAAAGTGCCTCACAAATGCTATCAAGCTTTGTTTTATAAAGGGGTGATCAGGTGATCCAGAAAACCTGCTGGGGCTTTTAGTACAAATTACACTAGCGAATGCTTCTGCAGTATTTCCGCTGTGCCACATGCTGTTCTCAGCACTTTACATATGTTAACTCTTTTAATGCTTACAACAATGCTTTAGGGTAAGTATTGTTATTTTTCTCATTATGTAGATGGGAAAATAAGGCTCAGTTAACTCATTTGCTCTGAATCACAGAGAGTAGATAGTAGAGCTGGACATGTGGATTTATGGGAAAGAAAGTTTCAAAGGTGCTTAGGTAGAAACATGCCTAGTGTACTTGACAAGCAGCAAGGAGACAGAAGAGCTGGAGCAGAATGAGCTATGGGGGAGGGAGTGGGAGGTGGGCTAGGAGGGAGTATGGTGTCCTAGATCAGAATGAGCTATGGGGGAGGGAGTGGGAGGTGGGCTAGGAGGGAGTATGGTGTCCTAGATCACACAAGGCCTCCTGTGTCATTGCAGGGATCTGGGCTTTCAGGCAGAGTGAAACAAGAAGCCCTTGAAGCATACTGAATACAGGGGTGACTTGTTATGACATGATTTGACCCCGATTCTACTCTGTTGAAAAAGACTAAAGAAGATCAAGTCTAGAAAACAGGGAGTGCACTAGGCCTGGGAGTTTTGTGATGGTATTTGACAATTTTAATAATGCCTAGAAGAATGCATTACTAGCATTATCCTAGGTCTAAGAGAGGTATCTGAACTTTACTATTTTAATTATAATTATATGAATTGGAAATTTTCATATGAGAAAATAATTATAGGTTAAAATGCTCTTAATTTCTACTTACATAATCAATACACAATGCAAAGCTATCATATCCTCACTGATAGTCCAAATGACTCAGCATCACAGTATTACTCAAACACCTTGTACCTCAGATGCTATAAGCCTATGTTCTGAAAAAAGAAAACCTAAAGAGCAGTTGTGGATCTTTTTCACAAACTCAGGTGTGCAAGAAACATCTGGTTTTTGATTTTCTTAAATCTGACTTTGGATCTCCTGCATGATGGGCTGGTAGGGCTACCCACCTTAGGTGTAAAGGGGGCCTTTCTCCATAAAATCTCACCAGTATCTGGAATGTTTCATGCAAGTCAAACTTCCCGTCCATCATGGCTATTTCTGACATCCTCATTGTTCATACTGATACTAGTTCCTTGAATTAAGATTTCCTCTTGCTCCCAAGTTGTCTGTGAAAAATGGGCATATTTACTGAAGCTAAAACCCCAGAGCAGCCATGACCTCAGTACGTTTTCAGTGATTCCATGGTTGTGGTCTTCCTTCTTACCAAGAGCTGATGGGAAATAGGTTCCCCTACTAATTGGCACAAATTTCTTCCTTAATATGTCAGTATGGTGGACTCTTTTCTGCTCCTTGCTGATTCTCAAAAGTATTTCATCCTCTTTCTTTCCATTCCAGATTACGTAACATGAACTCTTTAATGGCACAGTGTAGAAAAATAAAATAAAAATTGGAAGTATTATTCAGGATAATTCTTAAAATTGTAAGATATTCAGAGGCAAAAGAGCCAACAAGGACCAGACTTCTTGCATGAAATGGAGGAAGATAAAAAATACAAGGAGAAAAAAATAGTAAAACATCAATAAATGATGTTATCACACACAGAACTAAGTCAAAACAAAGAAAAATCTAAAAGCAAAAGATTAACAGTTGGGCAATTGTAATGCATCTTTATTGCCTAGCCCAGAGGTGCAATCATATATAAGAGTTCTAAAAGAGTAGCTTCATATAATATGTTTTTCAACAAATCTTGGCTTTGGAGAAACAATGGTATTATATTTTATGAATCATCAAGGCAATATATGCATAACTTAACTAGATAACATAGGTGCTATAGAGAAATATGATGCAGAGAAAGTGGATAGGGCTTTCCAGGTTGGGCCGGGTTGCAAGGTTACATAGGCTCAGCAGGAAGGCCTTCCTGATCAGGGGACTTTCAAGCCAAGGTTTGCAGGATATGGGTCAACAAGCTGTGGGGACATCTGGAAAAAGAAATCTCCAGGCAGAAGAAAAATCCATTATAAATGTCCTAAAACAAGTATATGCATAGTGTGTTTCAGCAGGGAGTAGCAGGAGCTGTGTTCAAAGAGGTAGTTTGTATAGGGCCTTATAGGGTTTACTCTAAGAGAAAATTGGATTCAATGGGGAATTGTGAGCAGAATGATATGATCTAACATATTTTGACATTGTCATTCTGGCTGCTATGTTGAGAATAAAGTACAGGTAGAAGAGAGGAAGTAGAGAGAGCAGTTACTCTAGAAGGTTAGTGTAGTAATATAGTTTAAAGGACAGAAGCTTTTGTTAAGGTTGTAGGGGTGGAGCTGGTCAGAATAATTAGATTTAGGATGCATTTTGAAGATAGTGCCAAAAGGACTTACTGAGAATTTAGATGATGAGAAAAATGAAGGATGAGTGGAAAGTTTTGGTTTGAGAGACTGGAAGGACAGTCAAACTATTAACTGAAGCTGGGAATAGGGATAAGCGGATTTAGGGGGAAGATTATGAGCTCAATTTTGAATGTGTTGAATTTGAGGTGCCCATTGAACATTTAAGTGGCAATCTCAAGTAGAGAGTGGAAATACAAATAGGGAGTTAAGGGAGAGGTGTGGATTCAAGACAGATTTTTAGTATATGGACAATATTTTAAAGCTACTGACTGAATGCAATGAAATGAATGAAATCACCGAAGAGTGAGTATAATTAAAGAAGAGAATAGATCCAAGAATGGAGATCTGGATGTGTCTCTGATGTTAAGATGTTGGGGTGATCATAAAAATAGATTCTAAAGAAGTATCTAGAAAGGAGGGCAAAGAGCAAAAGGTACTGAAATAGTTTCAATGAGAAGAGTCATCTATAGCCAGTGCTACTGAGAGTTCAAGATAAACAAGGACTGAGATTTGGACACTGAATTTAGCCAGGATCTTGACAAGAGCTTTTTCATGCAGTGGTGGAAGACAAAACCTGTTTGAATTAGATTTAGGAAAAATGAGGAGAGAGTATTCGGATGATGAATATATAGACGGCTCCTTTGTTGAGTTTTGCTGTAAAGAAGGAGAGACATAGGGTAACAACTGGAGGTGGAAGTAGGGCCAAGAAAGGTTTTATGTGTCTGCACAGGAGTAGTGGAGTCAGCATGTTTTTTGTCTGATGGGAAAGATCCAGCAGAGAGAGAAAATTTGATGATGTGAGAGAGGCAAGATAGAATTGTTGAGAAATATCACTGAGTAGGGTAGAGAGGATGAATTTTGTGTGCAGGTGGAGAGGCTGGCCTTTGTAGGGTTTATCATTCCATTGTACTAACTGTGAAGGCAAAACACATGGACACAGATGTTCGTGGGTGGGTTGATGTCATCTCGTTGTCCCATTTTCGCAGGGAAAGTGGAAGCAGGGCCAAAGCTAGAAGGGATGTTGAGGGAGGAAGTAACAGTATCAGAGAAGAGAGAGGAAGTAGTGTGGTAGGATTATATTTGCTGCTCTAGGATTTATTACCATAACTCTTGCATGACTTGATGGAGAAGATTTGTTACATAAAGAAATACATCTGATTAAAAAAAAGGTTATATACATAAAAAATAAGGGTTTCAGGTGCCGGAACTTAACTTTCCCAAGGAATTTTTTTTTAATTTATTTCTTATGAGAATAACTTAGGAGTATGTGTGTTTTCCTGGACATAAATACTAGCTGTTGTGCTTTCAGACAAACAGTGGGAATGTGTAAAGTTTGAAATTAATCTGTTATACAGTGTATTATGTATTAGAACAGCCATTTGGCCAGTGACCTGCTATTATGTGCTTTTACTCTTCCATAATTTGTTGAAAATGCTTGTTAATTGGTGACTGCCATCCTCCAATTTTATTTGATGTAGTAAAATAATCTTTCTTTGTTTTCCTATATATTTACTTCCGTGGATTCTAAAGTTACAGAAAACAAATATGAATGTGTTTGCCTATTCCTCTTGAGCCTGAAGAATGAAATTATTTTAAGTTACATATAAACTATAATTTTTAAATAAACATCACATAAATTTATATGAGATGACAACAATGATGTACCAGAGAAGGCTGAGCTGCAGTTTTGTGACTGAAATGAAAGAAGAGGAGGAAAGGTAGTAATTTATGTAGAAACAAATCTTGAGTATGTGGCTTGAATATTTCTCAAGTTTTGAATAAAAGCTCTATGTAGACAATTATACCAATAATTAACGTATACATACAGCTTTACATCTTCAATCCATTACTTCATTTTTTATTTGGACAGTAAGTATGGAAATCTTTAGTAGAGAAGGTGCTGGCAACATTACAGAACATAATGTCCCCTGGGACAGGAACCTCACTCAACCTTTCATTATGATGATGCTAATCTACTTCTATTATTTACATCACCCACTTTGCATTATAAAATGGTAATTTAGTGGTTGCAGTATTCTTATTTTTATTGATGATAAAGAGAAAGCCATGCTGATGACAGCTTTTGGGCATAATCTCTTAGATAGGCTCTGTAATTGATGTGTCCCTTATGAGAAGGGTCTGTTTTCACAGCATTTATTATGCACATCATCAAGTTTGCACAACTAACACCAGGATGTGTACAGATCAGCATGCACATCTTATTCTGCTCATGCCCCTGACTATGAAGCAGGAAACCAAATTTGTGGTTCCAGCTCTTTAATCCAATAATTATCTGAACTTCCAGAAACTACTTAAAATCTCTGAACCTCAGGATTTTGATAGGAAATGTTAGGATAATAGTACCAGCCTTAACTGTTTTACAGAATGGATGAGGATCTTAAAAATATAACAGACCTGGACAATTCTTGTGTTTTCTCTTCCTATGCTCACTTTCTACTCTCAGCATTTGGATGGTATTTAGTTTCTTCTGTGTGTTTCCTTCCCTCTACTCTTCTTGCATTTATAGATATTTTTGCATGGTAACAACCTGAACAGTCTTCACCAACTAATTCATCCTGAGATTCTGCCCTCTGAGTTTGGAGGAATGCTGCCCCCTTATGACATGGGAACATGGGCAAGAACACTGCTAGACCATGAGTATGATGATGACAGTGAGTACAATGTGGACTCCTACAGCATGCCTGTAAAGGAAGTAGAAAAGGAACTCTCCCCGAAGTCCATGAAGAGGTATGCTGGAGGTGGATTGGGAAGTAGTTCTGGGGCCAGGGTTTGGGGAGGTATCATAAGTCAAACTCCAAATTTTATATTTTTCTGTATATATTTTTTTCTGGTGAGATTTTAAAGCCTTTCATGCTCCCATGATTGGATACCTAGGAATTTTGAGTCAAAGATAAAGTAATTGTTTTTTGTAGTGAAGACATTTACAACCTACTCAGCAGTTTTCAAGTATACAATACATTATTAACTATAGTTACTCTGCTGTGCAGTAGATCTCCAGAACTTCCTCTTCTCTAACTGAAACTTTGTACCCTTTGACCAGTGTCTTTACACCCTCCACCTCAGTTCCTGGTAACTACCATTCTGCTCTTTACTCCTATGAGTTTAACTATTTTATATTCCACATAGAAGTGAGATCATGCAGTATTTGTGCATCACATTGTACCCCATAAATGTATGTGATTATCTGTTAAGACAAAGATAAAGTCATTTGAGATAACCTCAATTTAGTGTTGTTCCAGATTAGCAAACAATCTAGCAGGGTCATTAGAAGTCACCAGATCCAGTGGTTTTCATATTGTACCCTGAGGAACCAAAGGTTTTGATGATGTCTCAGGCCAACCAGTGGGGTATGGAGAATGCCTATTTCCATTGTGATGAGAGCAACTCTCCTATCTAAGCAATTTATTAGACTTCTATAAGATTCCCTTTGAAGAAATCAGCCAACACACACACACACACACACACACACACACACACACACACGCTTCAGTTCAAACACCATGGTCAAAACTTGTGGTCCTTTTTCAATATCTCTGCCATGTCTTTGTCTAAAGGTCTAACCATCCCTGGTGCAAAACATTTTGGAGAAATGGTTTCTTGATAGTTAGCAAGCTTATATTTAAGCCAACTTTAGGCTTCTTAACTCCCTTCTCTCAGAACTTCTTGAGATGTATTCTCTCCTAACCTAAGGGATTCATGAATGGACTCTCAAAGGATTCTGTTAAGTGCTAAAAGTTGTATGCAAAATTTTGTGTGTATATGTGTTAATGTACTGTATATATTTTGCACATTTTTCTGGAGAAAAGACATATATTTCATCAAATTCTCAAAAAGTTTTCCAGAATAAAAATGGTTAAATGTGGCTATCTAACAATAGCTTCCATCTAATAAAATAATAATCCTAATAATAGTAGTTATAATCTGTTATATGCACTTATCATGAATTAGGCCCTTATTAGGTGACTTTTGTTTTTACATTAATTTATTTAATCCTCACAGGACTCTGTTAAACAGGTATTGTATCCTCAATGTTAAGTAGTCTGCAGTAGAGCAGGGTTCCAATCCATAAGGTATGGAGTCTTTCATATTGTTGTCATAAAGCCTGTCTACCCTTCATGATAGCATGGCACTGAGCTTCCTCACTCTGGAACTGAGCTGTGTAAGGATTTGGAGACAGCTGTCATCAGTGTTCATTAGTCTTCTTCTTTGCCACCGAAAACGGGTTTCTTCCTTCAGCCATTTCTCCGGTGACATGTTCACTTACACAGTCCCATCATGAGAGCACAGTTCTCTCTATGAACTCTACAACCTTGTTACACCACCATCACCCACAGCCTGCTCACCTGCGCCCACTCCCAAAATTTCTTAACTGCCTTTATTATCTCCAGCCATATAATCTTTTAAAAGCATAAATCAAATCATTCCACATCTTTGCTTTAAATTTTTAAATAACTGCAGATTACACAATGAATAAAACCAAATCCTTTTCATGGCTTAGAAGTCGTTACCTGATCTGACCTTGCCTTCCTCTCTCCACCAGGTGTAACCCACCCTCTGCCTCCTCCCCTACCTTTTAGGCTACAATAGCCTCCTCTGTGTTCCTTCAGCCTCTCTCCAGCTTGTTCCTATCTAAGGGTTTTTATGTTTGTCACTGCTACCTGGAATGCTCTTTTCCTTTATCTTCGAATGGCTCATCCCAATCAAAGGTCAACTCCTCAAGAGAGTCTTTTGATCTTATCACCTGCCTGGTTTTTAGTTCTGTTTCTTTCTCTTTCTAGTCACTCCCTGTCAATCCTTTATTTTCTTCATAGCACCTAGTGATCTATGAGATGATTGATGATATTTAATTTTATATCTGCACTCCATCTTCCCATGTAAGCATCATAGAGAATAGAGACCATAGTGATTTTGTCTGTCTTGTTCTCCTCTGAATCCCCAGTGCCTGGAGAAGGTTCTGGCACACAGAGGGTGCTCCCTAGAAACCAGTTGAATGAATGAAGGAGTGTTCTGCTGTCTGTCAGCGGCCCCATTAAGTGCAGTATTTGTAACCAACTAGGTGATGTCTGACCCAAGTTTTACTACTTGCATTTAGGTTCCAGAGTTCTGGCTTTGCAGTGTAGACCTCATTGGCTTCTTTTGATGCTATTGATGTTGTTGTCACTACTGCAGTTTTTCAGGCAGCCAAAGCACATTGCTGACTGGTATCTGGCTTCCTAAATATAGAAAGTCTTTTTACTTATCCATATCTTCCTAATTCTTTATTTCTGTCTTTAGCTTTTTTTTCCCCCAATCATATTATTTTAATTGATCTTGTTAGATTTGGCTCACTCTGTCCACCTTTTGGAAGTTTTTTGGATCCCAATTCTCTTCTCCAATTAATTAGGCTATTTTTCTTTGCTTATAGCACATCAGTGGCCCCAGCCTTGAGTTTCTAGCTTCTGACGTGGGCTGACTAGAATTTCAGACATTGTTTGTTTGGTGTATGTTTGGCATCATATGAAACATTTGTGGTTCCATTGGAAAACTCCTAAATAATGATATTGAGAAAGTGCTTGTTTCATTTGATTCTCTTTTCTCTTTGTCAGGGAGGGAATAGCAGTTCTCCATCCAGGATGGGAGAAGATTCTCCTACATTTCACCCTGCCTTCCCCTTGGCCCTTTTCCTTTTTGCAGTTTTATGTCATTCTTAGATTGAGAGGGGAATAAATCATTCCTTCACCAAAGAGCTGTGGGTAATTCTTCCTTTGGGTGAATTTAGCTACACCGTAAGAAGACAACTTTGTGCTCCTATGTAAATTTATGAAGTAATAAGATAGTCATATGAAAAGACACAAAGCTCATTATTTTGGTGGTATTTTCGAATTAGGGAGTATATTTTAGCTTACGTCTTCAGCACCTAGACTAGTGCTAGCACATAACAATTGCAATGAGCAATAATTCTGATGTTATTGTAGTGATGTGAATTTCTGATTACTGAATATTGAATATATTTTATTGAAAAATATTAAACATTTATTGTTACTACATGCCAAACCCTATTCTAATGTTTTGTATATTTTGACTCATTTGCTTCTTAAAGCAACTAATAGGGTAGTACTATCCCCATTTTATTGATGGAGAGACTGAGACACAGGGAAGGTAAGTGACTTCCACATGTTGCATAACTTCAAGGTAGTAATGCTGATATTTGTACATAGGCCATAATATTCCATGAGCTATTTCCTTCACCATTACTATTTTCCATATGCCAGAATTTATGGAGAGGTTTATACATTATTGCATCTGATATTCATTATATCTGAATGATGTAGGTGTTATTTTCCCCATTTATAAATAATAGAACAAAATCTTAGGAAGTTTAAATAGCCTTCCCATGGTCACAGAGTTAGTAAATTGCTATTACTAGTAACTGGAATTGGAACCTACTTCTGTCCAACATTTAGCCTCTTAAACGCTGTGGTATAGCATAGATGCATAATAATGAATAAGTGAGTACTGGATGCCTAAATTTAAATTATTGATTTCCAAAAAATAAAAAAATATAAGTGTTTCATTGTAAAAACAGTAGAGGCTGTGTGTAGACCCCTGAGATGTGTTATGAGTTATTAATAGGTGGCTTTCTCTATTGCAGCTGGAATAAACCAATTCATTAACAGTTTTGATCCTGTACAAATAATCCCATTATTTCATATTAGAGAGTAAAAACAAAAAATTGGGATTAAAATAATAGTACACTTGGGACAACTATATATTTAAAAAAAATTTAATCACGAATTGTCTCTGCCTGGCTTTTTTTCTGTAGTTGAAGAATTGTTCCACATATGGAACCAACATTCACCATCCAACAATTCTGATATCTACAGTGCATGACAAAAGTAAACTAGGTACCTAATCTCAGGTTGACTAATACACTGTAATTTAAAATATTTTGTTAAAATTGTCATATCATCAAATAATATTTTTTTCAAACAAAGTCATGAAACATGGACTTAAAAGAATGTGTGTGTATTTTTGTGTGTGTATATATATATATGATGTATGTTTTCATAGAATATTATGGCAAATGCAAATGCTTCAGTTACCTCCTGCTGTCTGAAAAGCTTTGATATTTACTTAGGGAATATTATCAGGATGTACCTCAACATTTATATAGTAGATTTAATTTTATGAGAATTTTAAAATTTATTTTTTACAAAGAATTATTTTCTCCATTATCCTCATTACTCTTCACTTCAAATGCTTAATACAAAAATTCTTTTAATATGGACATTATTTACTGGATGGAAGTTAAGACATTGATAGAAGTGCATCCTTACTATGATACACATTGTGTTCACGATAAGGAGAGAAACTGATAAAGTCCTTGCTCAGGGAACTTACAGTCTAGTGTGTACCAATTGTCAAGTTAATGCATTAGCAAAGGACATTAAATGAACCTTTTTCTGTTTTAACAAGGATTCATGTTGGGAAACTCATTTTCTCTATTGGCTTTTACCTAAAAGATCTAATCCTATGTATTTTGTGCAATTGTCCACTTTCTTAAAAAAAATTTATTCCTGAACTTTTTAAAAGAGATAATAAATATGTATTACTTCATTTAAAATTAATGCAGAAATCTTTTTTCTCTCTCTCTGTTCCTCTTTTCTCCTCCTCCTCCTCTCTCTCTTTTTATCTCTTGAAAATGCACACACACACACACACACAAAACTTCAGTCAGTCCCTTTGCTGGGATAGGCCTCTAATGCCTATTTAACATTGAGATAAAATAGTGTAAATGACTAAGGAAACAAAATCTTTCCTTTTTTTAATGCTCTCACCTTCATTTTCATTCCCTCTTTAGAAACGCATGCATTTAAGCTTATTTAAATAAAAGAATCAATTTATCAGCTAATCCTGTAATTATTTTTTCTTTGATAATTAGTTCCGTTGCTGTTCTTTTTCATTAGCATGTGCAGTTGTGTTTTAGCTTATAGTCTTTCTTTTCGAAAGTTAATGAGGTCTGTTAAGAGGCATATTGCCACAGCAAAAGCCAATTGGCTGGAATGCAGCAGCAGGAGAAGAATTCATTACCGAGGAGAATTTTAAAAGGGCAGCTGCTTCCTTAATGCTATAGCTATTAAGATGGCAGCTTCCTGCCACAAAGGGAGCATATTTCATTGATTTTCCTCCTTCCCACTTTCATGTTGTTTCCTAATGATAAATTGAGATATAATTCCCACCTGCTATCAAATGCATGTATAAGTGGGTTTTCCAATTATGTGTTTTCCTAATCATTAAGTGTTGCTGCCTAAACAAGAGGGGGTTTTTCTTTTTAAAAGTCTTTAACTACCTTATGAAAGGTTCAAGAGTAAAGTTGATTTTATTTGAATGTTCTAGTGGGAAATTTGACAAAATTGCATACAAATTTGGGATTGTTTTTGTTGATGTCATCATTAAAATAAAAAATGATGGTTAAAGAAAAATGCACATTACTGTTGAATTTGTTTCATGGATTCCTTTAAGACAGGGATTAAGCCTCCTATCATTTCTATTTAATTTCTCCTAATAATCATTTCACGATAGTATTTGTTCCATTTGGAAATGTTTATTGGAAAACTTTGGTCCTACACTAAAACTTTTCAATATTTCAAAGAAAAGAATCTTTGCTTCTCATCATTCTATTTAGAGGCCAGAGGGGATTGTTTCTTCACTCCAAGGCAAAACACCACCATTAGTGGTTTTTTTCCTAAATGTGCAACATCCACAGTTCATAAATTCTTTGATGTAGGGGAACATATTCCACATTCATGGGAAAAGTAATGACAAAGAAAAGACAGAGAAGAGAATATCATCTGGGTGATTATTTGGTAATAACTCACTGACGTTGGCCTTATCCTTTTCAGATCCCAATCAGTAGTGGATCCTACAGTACTAAAACGCATGGATAAAAACGAGGAAGAAAACATGCAACCTTTGCTTTCTCTGGACTAATTTCTCTACACCCCTTCATGGATTAGAAATGGAAGGTACTGGTTTTCAGCAACAGGGACAGCACTGTGGAGGAATTATCAGCTGGAAACCTATTTATTCATGTTAATGTAGCATAATATATAATAAGGCATCAGGCTTTCCCATTTGCCTGAACCATGGGTGCCCTGGGCTGGATTAAAAAAAGTCAATAATTTATTCTGTAAGTGCCAAGTTCTTTGTAAATATAATGTAATCTTCATGTCGAGTTTGTAAATTTTGGTAGTAATTTAATTTGGAAAGGATTGGCTCAAAAGTCTATACCAGTGTTATGAACTCTAACAAAAAGCAGAAAAGACAAACAATCAAAGCTAATTAAATGTAGCCCTGTTTCCTATGAAGCCATATTTCAGCTATCATAGTGATTGTTTCATTGTTTTTCTCTGAAACTGTGTCAGTATTCAAACATACTTTTAATGGGCACAGGGAACTAAATGATTCTAGGAAATTATTACAGTTAATGTATCCTGTCTAGTGATTTTCATTTCAAAGAGAATGTGTCTTAGTGACTTTAACTGGCCTTGGATTTTGGAGACAAGGAATGGCAGATGAGCTGGTAAAACAAACACTTAATTGAACTCTTCGATGTTGTTTAATTCTTGGAATCTCATGAAAAGATGTGTTTCCCCAATTAAGATATAGAAAGAGAGCGGATTCTTTTTAAACTGCTGTCTTCACAATGCACTCTTTATTCAAGACCCCACTGTGCCCTCTGTCTGATGTGCTCTAAGAACATTTTCCCTCAAAATGCTTTGACCAAGAGAATGAAAACTTATATGTGAGTAGTCTTTTAACAGCTGATTTTGAACATAAATTTTTGTCACTTACAGATAAGAGGATAATTTCTAATTATTGTGCACCTGTTGGAAAAAAATATATATATTCACATGCACCATATATATTTTTTCTAAGCTCTAATAAATCCTTGATGTGACAGGCTTATAAAATAAATCAAATGTATTAAATGATTTTAGAGATGTTATACATGAGATACTCATTCTGGACAACTTCACTAAAGTTAATGAAAATGAGAAATAGTGAAACAAACTTTCAATATACCTATTTAAGGGAATTCAATTTAATTTATAATGCAATCTTGAATATGTCATTTTATTTAAGCTATATTTTTTCTTCAAAGAAACAACAGGTCTCAACATAATGTAGGTGGTATTCGGTGACAAAGAGTGAAATATTTTTTTCTCAAATTCAAGTTAATTGTCCTAATGATCCTATATATGTATACAATTTCTTTTCATAAAACATTAAAAGAATGCATTATATCCGGGAGATATAATGAAATCTCCTGAAGGCATGAAAGATAGTATGCAGTTTATATCTAGATTTAGAATTCATATATTATTTAAAGTTTTATTTCATAAAAATTCTACAATTACAGCAAATTTTAATGATCTTATTTTAAATTTCAAACTTTAACATAAGAAAGCAATATTTTTATCACCTTTCAGCATGATAAATCTTGAGACTGAGAATTTACCATTAAAATATTCTTTTGAAAAAAACGTATCTCCAAGAACACTTGGAAACCCACAGAAATAAAGGCATATGGCAGCCTTTACATTTTTTAGCCAAAAGCTCCAAAAATTCCAGTTATAATTCTACAGCCAAAAATCTTAAAAGCAAGATCAGTTCACCAATCTGCAGTATACCAATGTACTATCTAATGTGTGTAAAAATACATTAATTAGCGTGAGTGGAAGATACCTTAAGAGTGCCAACCTCCAGTCACGTGCTCCAGAAGAGTGGCTATCAAATAATTATTACAAAGATTGGAAGGAATTGGAGAGAAAAAAACCACAGCAACTCTCATCTTTGCAAGAATCCTAACCATATCCCTGGGCTTTATAGACAATATAAATTAGTCTTAAACAGTCTGAGCCATCGGAATAAAATAGAAACAATGTAAGTAGAGAAGAGCAGTCAACTTTCCATCCTCATGAGTTTCTCTTGATGTGCACCATTTATTGCCAGTTTTAAGAATTCTTCCAGCATAGCCAGCTTCTTTCTATTATCATAAAGTTAGTGTCATATATAAAAATAACTAGAATGGCATATTTCATATGTATGCCTGTCTAATTATAAGTATCATTTACACTGTCTTCCAGCCCCACATTTGGAAACTTTGCATTGCATTGCTTCTCGTCTTCAAATGAGCAATTGAGAGTTGGCTAGATTGTGTAAAATATATAAAAATGAATGAACAAATTACAAGGATGTTGCCTTTTGAAATTGCTATATCTAGTTCAGTCTGTGAATAAACTCATTTTCTAGTAATGTTTGTAAAGCTGCTTAGACAAGGGATATTCGTTCAACTTTATAAATTTTCCCCTCAGCACTAGCTAGCTAGCACTGTTTAGGAATTTTTCCTCTCATATGATATACTCTGTGTCACATAGCTAAATGTGTTATTGCATAACCTACTAAATGAGCACCCTTATATTCCTTATTTTAATTGCAATAGTACACCTTAACTCACACACACTTAGACACACACACATACACACACACACACACACACACACACACACACTAGACTATTTGCCCTAATGAATTTGCCTGTCTACTTTGAGAGCTGTGCTTTTTTTTTTCTAGTTGTCTTGTCACTTGAAATTTTGTGGACTTCAGAGAATTACCACATTTGACTTGGAATAAGCCAGTAGTCCATTAACTTCTCTCAGCCTGCCTACTCTACCTTCTATTTATGAAATCTTTTCTTTTTTCCAGTTGTTCAGGAGCAGCTGCTTCCAAAGCTGGCTTAAAAATAAATAATTTCTCTTATTATGTTGTCAGTGATGTTGGCACACATTTTTGACTGCTATATAAAAAGGAAGAGATCATCGGGAAAATATACTCTAAGAAATATGAAGAAGTGCCTCTTTAAAAATAGAATAAAGTAGTAATAATACTGGCATATGGATTTTATTTGTACTGTCTTCTAGTAAGTAAGTACATGCATCTATCTTATAAGAGTGAAATTTAGATATCATTTGAAGAAGCATATTAGAGGCCTTGCTTTGAGTATTTTCATACAATACTAAGTCTCTGTGTAAGTTAAATTCAGTAACTTTAATACATGTTAATAACAAACCTGGCACTATGCTAAAACAATATTCAAGTATTAAGTGGAGTTTTGCAAGCAAGTTTTTAAAGTGGGCATGCATGATTTCTTTCATTTCAGTAATAGTTTGCATAAGTGTAGAGAGAGTCATTCATTAAGTCTTTTCATGTAAAATGCTTATTTACTTTATAAATAAGTATTTACCAAAAATTCATACATTCATAAGCAGGAAAGCCAAGCATCTAGGTTCTTTTAATATTGTTAACTAGGTCACATTGTTAAATTAAACATTTGAAGTTTCTGTAATATTCCTGAGGGAATAGAAGTCCTTCTTTTGCATCAAGAAAATGAAGAGTGGTTTTAGACATTGAAGAGCATTGTTTATGACCTCACAAAAGTAAACCTTCAGAGCCATGGAGTATTTCTTCAGGGACAAGCTTTCTTTGTTTCTACAAACAACCTAAAGGTTTATGGACATGTCTGTGGTCCTTTAAAGAAGTTTTATTAAGAAAACTTGCTGAGTGGCTGTATACTCTTCTGTTGTTTTATTTAAAGGTCTACCTTCTTTGGTTGGTTAATAATATCTCTTCGCTTCTTTTTTTGTTGTGTGTGTGTGTGTGTATACTTATTAATGATTACTTGAAAAGTTGCCATCAGCCATGAGGATATTTCAGAGAGATTTTCAACATAAAAAGAAAATGAGCAGAGCTCTGGCATGGTATTTGAACTTTCAGATAAAGTATTTACATTTTTTACATCAATAAGCTCATAGGCATATATTTCATTTTAGATCTGCTATGTAGATACATAGTCTAAAACATGGTAGTGCTTTTTAAATTCGTGAGGCCATTAGATCCTACAAGAACAGGCAGATTATATACAAATGTTTTGGAACAAAAGAAGATTGGTTAAATATCCATTGTGTGTAATTATCTTCAGTAATGAAAACGATTTTTATTTGTGGTTTTCAGTTTTACTTGACAAAACAGCTTCCCATATGCTACTAGAACTATTTGGCAGTATTAACTACTTGAAGGAAGCAAATAAGTAAAAATACAAAAGAGGCTTGACTTTGTAACAGTATTATATCCTGATTTTGATGACTTAGAGAATATAATATTTTTTCATGAATTCGGGTTTTTATTTTATAAATACCTGGAGAGTAAACCCACACATGAAAATAGTGCCATGAAATCTATTATGTACTAAATATGGGAATGAATTCTCCTGGACTGTAGGGAAAAATATAAAATAGCAATTCTGTGGATTGAAACACTCAAATTGGACTTTTTGTTCCCAAAGGAGGAGGAGTGCAAATGATATTTTTGAAATAAAAAAGATTGCTTAGAAAAGAAATAATTATAGAACTTAAATATAATACATGCACTCTTATGGTAAATAATAGAGTTGTTACAATTTAGAAGGTGTTTTGTCAGTATTTGACTTAGTTTCAAGTCTCAATGCAGGTATTTCTGTCCTTAATTATATCAGTGCATCTATTCTGTCAAAATTATTTTTGTGATAATTGAGATGGATCTAGATGAAAATCAAAATAAATTTTAACAACACTTTTAAGAATGAAAAAATTCCCAGCTATCTTGAAAAATTGCAATGGGCTATAATTGATTTAAATATAATATTCAAAGCATTGTCTTGCTTCCAATCCAATTTTCTTAGATTTCACATTTGTTTAAAAACTAAATAAAATTTATAAAACCAAATAGTTTTTGTTTTCAAACCTGTCCAGAAAAAAAAAAAAGAATGTCTAGGAGGAAATTATACAAATTCTTGAAGAATACTAAATCCGCTATTTACTATTTGGCCCAAATACTCTTCCTGTTTACAACTATACAATATTTATTTAATGCTACATGTTAATTATTATCTGTCCTTTTGAGGGAGTTATTTATTCCAATATAATATTATAAATAGTATAATAACATTTGTGAACATGCTTTTTTTTTTTAAACATGCTTTTTTTATTTTACATATGGTTGATGTTGAATTTGGTAGTCTGGGTCTGCTACATCTATCTTTAAAATGGAGAGTTATAAAAATTAACAACAATAATTTTATTTTGACATAAACTGTGGTTAGCTATTTAGGTTAGATACCTCAAATTTTCTAATATTTGTATTTTTTGGGCATAAGGGGGAAAATACATCAAAGTGGCATTTTCAGTATTTTATAACTTCTAGACAAACTTTCAGAGGACAGTTTGAAAGAAGAAGTAAACTAACTTTTAAATTACATATAGGAGAGGAATGATAAAATAAATAATTAGGATGATAAATAAAATAACGACACTTTCACATTTCCATGTGAAATTACTGGATTAGAAAAGAGATTAAATTCAGACATTTGAATTACAAAAAAGAGAATTAATTTAAATAAATTCTTAAGCAATTAATCCCAGGTCAAAATATGAAGTAAAATAAAAATGTCCCATTTGATTTGAGAAAGAATACTTACTTCAACAAATACACGTTTGTATGTTCTGTGAGTTTCCCTCATTTAACCTGCCTGTGGGTGAAAAGTCACCCAGTGAGATAAAAGAGACTCAATTACATTTAACTAGAACCTGGTACAATAGACTTTATGAATTTCTTTGGTCCAAACCCAGATGACTTCCATGTGCACAGATTCTAAGGTTATCAAGAATCATTTTTGCTACTTCTTCCTAAAGGCACATGAGGAGGAGGCACGTTTCCAGCAGAAGTATCCTCAGTGGGAATTAGGTCTCCATTTCTCATTACCAAAAGTTGTGTTCCTTCTTCAGGGATCAGAGATAAAATGTTTTAAATCATAAACAGGAAACTTTTTCAAAATGCCAAGGGTTTCTGATCTCAAGAGCTAAGTACTTGGCCAGTGAAAAGAAGCCATGGGGAAGTGACTGTCTAGTCTCTGTCGTGAAGTATGTTTCTACACAGCAACGTCATCGTCAAAAACTCATACCTCTGAGCACCACTTCTTCCTCCTAAAATAAAAATAAGTATGCTTTCTCTTTCCCTTTTTTCTACTTGGTATCATAAAAGTGTCAGACAGCAACCATACCTGTTTGTTTGTTGTTTTTTAGGGGGGAAATGCTATATTATGCATATATGAACATAATTCACATAGTTGCATATGATTGAATATTTGTATGCTGATTTATAAATTATTACCTATATTTAAAAACATAATTATATTGTTTTAATGCTAGAAAATTATTGTATTCTTTGAGTCTGGGATTCATGGAGAAGACTGGTACTATCCTTTCCTCTGCATTCATATATCTAACATTTTTAATTGGATGTTGAATGGACATGTCAAATTTAACCTTTACAAATATCAAACTTCTCTACTTTCACTCCGAACCTGTTTCCCCTTTAGCCTTCTCATCTCACAAATATTGATTTTAACTTTCCAGTTTCTTGGGCTAAAAGCTTTGGAGTCATCTCTTTCTCTCATCTTTCCAAACTACACCCAATGAACTATCCTATAATGTTGGCTTTCCTTCAAAATATACCCACAGGTGTGATGTCTCATACCTGTAATCCCCACACTTTGAGAGGCCAAGGCAGGAGGATCACTTGAGGATAGGAGTTAAAGATCAGCCTGCGTAACATGTCAAAATCCCATCTCTACAAAACATAAGAAAAATTAGCCAGGTGTGGTGGTCTGTGCCTGTGGTCCCAGCCACTGGGGAGGCTGAAGCAAGAGGATCGCTTGAGTCCAACCCCAGAGTTGAAGCTGCAGTGAGCTATGATCATGCTACTGCACTCTAGCCTGGGTGACAGATCAACACCTTGTCTAAAAAAATATTAATATATGTGTGTGTGCGTGTGTCTCTCACACATTCTCGCACTCTGACCAGTTCTCTAACCTTCATTGTCACTACCTTGGTCCAAGTCTTCAACATATTTCACCTGGAATATACTTCTGCCCTTAGTTCCTAGAGCCAATTTTCAACACGTTATCAAGAATGAGTCTTTTAATATGTAGCTCAGACCTTTACTTCTTCTCAAACCCCTTGGAAAGAATGAAAACCAAAGTCTTTATAATGGTGTATGAGAGGGGTTGATATAAAGTCAGTAAGAACCAGTATAGCAGAATAGCATAGTTTCTGATTGGGCCAGCATTTTTGCCTGTGCAATGTAAAAGTAGTTGTTAAATACTTCAAATTTCTTGCTTCTGAAGTCCTCTCACTCCTGACCTTGACTTTTCTTACATCACCTCTTAAGGATCTCTCCTCTATAGTCTGTTGCCAAACTGACATTCTGTTGTTCCAGGATCTTGACAAGCATGGCTCCACCTCAAGACTTTCACGTTTCTGTTCCTTTTGCCTCTTTCTCCCAGATGTTCACATGGTTTATTCTCTCATCTCTCCTTCAGGTCCTTGCCCAAATGCCATCTTCTTTGTGAGGGCATTTGTTTTCCCAATTTAAAATAAAAGAGCCCTGTGGTTCTTCATATTTTCCTTTTATGATCTATTTCTTTATAGTATTTATCAACTAACACACTGTATATTTTATTTATTTTATTTGACACTTCCCCCTGCTAAAGTATGAACTCCACAAGGACAGGGATTTTTGTGTCTGTTTACTGTTGCATTACCAGTGCCTTGATCAGTGCCTGGAACTTAGTAACAAATCCACAAAAATTTCATGAAGATCTTAATGTGTTTCAGCAAGTTATGTAGTGGCTAGTAGTATACATTTAAGGAGACTTTTTGTTTCTTTAATTTTTTAAAAAACTGTCTTATTTATCTTAGAAGGGGAAATTTTACCCTCTCTGATGATGATGGAATCATGAATCAAAAATTATATTCCCCTTTGCCCAACACTGGTCTCTCTCTATCCAAGAGCCTGGGTTTCAGCTTTGTCTCTAGAATTTGCTGTGGGGTTGTTGGGCTCTACATCTATCATATACACAGCTTACTCTTTGAGAGAGTATAAGATATCTCAGATGAAAAGTCATTTTGAGATTAAAAACATAGGGAATTGTTCTCCCATCCAGACTTGACCCTGCTTAACTTCATGAGATTAGACAAGATCAGGCACATTTAGGGAGGTATGGCTGTAGATGTTAATTGTTTATTGATTATTCTAGTTAATTCCAATTTTTTAAAAATTGCAGGGAGTTAATAGACCATAATTTCTCTAATATTGGAAGTCAGTTTAAGAGAATATGCCTATATAGTTACTTTACTGGAAATTAAAAGAAGAGGAGGAAGAGGGAAATTGTGATCATTTCTTCTCCGCAACAATTATAAAATGAATGAGAAAGTATCTTAGTTATTCTATCTTTCCATGATTTAGAAATCTACTACAACCATTCACTCTATAAACTCTTTTAACAGAAGTACTGTATCGACTGGATTTTATATTTGATATCTTTACATTTTTCTTATTTTGGAAACTTATCTGACACAAGAGTTTAGGAATTACTCATGCTCATATATTCTAACTGGCTTTCCAAGTTTCTTCCTTCTCTTCTTTACTTTAATTCCAGCTATCTTTTCCAGAACCTTACTATCAGTTACTATCAGTTGCTCTTAACTATCTCTTATTTTTATTTAAAAAAGTAATTCTCATATTTTATTCCAAATAGTATTTGTACTGACTTCCCCATAATTTCAGTAACTATCCTAGATATTGGTTCTTGATGAGATGGGTTTCTGAGTTTTATCCTTTGCAGTTTATCTTTTTATTTTTACCTAAACTATATTATTTCTTTTCCTCATCTACATTGTTGTGCCTTTCCCTACATTGTAGTAATTCAAGCCTCAGCTTTTATAATATCCTGCCATGCTGTCTATTAAGAAGATACTGAAAATAAAGGATTGGGTGGTAATACTGAAGAAGTAACTATAACCTGAAGAATAAGGATAGATATTTGAAAATGTTTTCAGAGGTCAACCAGTCTTTTATTGGCTTTGTCATGGGTATAGGTTGTGTTTCTCTTTGTGTACTATGGAATACATTGTTAATCAATATAGATTATGCTTCTTGTCAGTTACGCAAATGTATGGCAATCAGGGTTAACAGTTTGAAAGACCTTATTCAGAGAAGAGATTAATGGCTCTTGCTCAGGACAAAGCAGAATTTTCTTGTGTTTCTTACCATTTGCTCCTTGGCAGTCTGTACAGTGGAAGCTATTTGCCTCTATGACATCGTTTTTTGCCTATCTTTAAGAATGTGTTTAGCATCACTTCAGAAATAAAAGAGTTCAAGCTCAAGTATACACAGTACATGAAAGATATGTAGTTCATTTTCTCTTATACTGAATTTTGTTTCCTTTCATAATTATTTTTATGACTGAACTCTAAGAATATGTTCCTTGGTAAATTTTATTAATTATGTATACTCTATAATGGATTTAGAAATTTTATAAAACAGGTCATTGTTTTATTATATTCTTAAAACCATATACTAATGTTTTATTTCCTTTTTAAAGAGGAGCTATTTCCTTGTGTATGTTGATTTCTGAGGATGAATAAAGTTCTGTTAAATAAAACATCACTAAATGAAATTTCAGATTCAAAAATGTGGGTGAATATATATGCCCTTTCAGTTTTTCATCTAAACTAAATTCCTGTAAATTTAGAAAACATCATATCAAATGGCTATAAATAAATTTGTCATTAAAATATGGAGACCATGTAGTCCCAGCTACTCTGGGGCTGAGGTGGGAGAATAGCTTTAGCCTAGGGGTTAAAGACCAGCCTGGGCAACAGGGTAACACAGTAAGATCTCATGTCCATAAATAGTAAAAAAAACTTTTTAAAAATGGAAATATATGAAATTGATGTTAGTATTTAGAAATATAAAATTCTTTTAAAACTGACTTTAAACATATATGGCTATATTGTAATGTTATTTTGAGTTGATTTGTTGTTGTTGATTTGATCAAATATATTTGATAAAATTGGCATAAATTCCAAATCACTAGAAGGAATTTCTTGACTTCTAGAACGATAGAATTGAAATACAAGACAGTATCAGTTATAACATTTTCCTCTTAAAGCAGCGGAACGGATTAAATAATGAGCTTATCTCATTTTTTACACTAACAAATTTGGGTACCGAGGGTATAAGAGTGAGCAATTCAAAGCCCCTGCCCTTCTGAAAGTTGCATTCTAGTGGAGAAGACATACAAAAACCAAAGTGTTGCAAGTGTGATGATGATTTACAGGTTTAATTGTGTAACCTCTGTTTTCTCATCTGTATAATGGGGCAATAATTGTACCAAAAATATGAGCTAGATTTTGTTATGTATCCTTTTGACAACTTGGCTCCTTCCTTTTCATGGAAAAACCCAACATAATCTCTTATCCATGCTGTTTTGGGGATGGCTGTTAGGGTCTTAGGGCTTCTGTCTTTCTGGTCACAGCTGACAGTGTTTGCCAGGGCTGTAGATGTTCAGGGAAAATGCATCCTGTAATCAGTGCTTTTCAATGTCATCCTGAGATGCTGGCTCCTGCACAGTTTTGTTTCTCTTAAAGTAAATTCCATACTTCTTTAATTCATTCTAACTAAAAAATAAACATTGATTTTCTATCTGAAAAGAACCACAATGAGTAAGATGTGCAACATTTGGGGGATGGACACGCTTGAAGCTCTTACTCGAGGGGGGAGGGGAGCATGGGCAATATATGTAACCTTAACACTTATATCCCCATAATACGCTAAAATAAAAAAAAGAAGAAGACAGAAAAGAACCAAAGATAAAAAAAAAAAAACTTATAGATTTTAATCTATTTAGTATGTTATTTTCCCTTATCCACAGGCAGAACCACAAACCCCTGTTTTTTATTGATGGGTTTGAGTATATTTCATGTAAGATAGATAATGAAAGCCCCAACCATTATGGTTTCAGAGGTGCTAATTCAGGCAGTATTAAAAGGATCATTTCCTGCCAGTATGTGAAGTGTAATTAGAATTTTTGTTTTTTGTAAAGTGTTCATATTATAAAATCTCTCTCAAGAAACTCATCATGGGAAAGTCTCAAAGTATGGGCAGAGTAGAATACCTTGAATGTTGATTATAACTCATCTAGGAGGAGCAAAGAGTAAATAAAACTTTCTTTTATGAAATAATAAAAAACAACAACCAGCAAACAACATTTGCCTTAAGGAAACATGGAACTTTTCTGTTTCTGCTCATATAAAAAATTCACTAAAAAGAGAGTATTACTCTATGTTAGTGCAGGCTGGATTCCATGTTAATTAATGAACATAAAAAATTGATTTTCCTTTCACATACTGATTTCTATAATGTAATATCTCAGGCCATTGATAATTGATTAATTAGGTTTATGAAGGGAAAAATAGTGCATCTGTTATGGTCATAATAAAGAATCCTATTTCTGGAGGCAGGAAGGTATAGACACCAGTCAGATTGCCTATTTTAATGAACTGATTTCTTTATAAATTTATTTCTCTTGTGGACTGTGTACTAAAGATTTAAGCCAGTCTCTAAAAAAAATCTCAGGCCATTGATTAATTAGGTTTATGAAGGGAAAAATAGTGCATCTGTTATGGTCATAATAAAGAATCCTATTTTTGGAGGCAGGAAGGTATAGACACCAGTCAGATTACCTATTTTAATGAACTGATTTCTTTATAAATTTATTTCTCTTGTGGACTGTGTACTAAAGATTTAAGCCAGTCTCTAAAAAAAAATAATGAATTATGATTTTAC